GATTGTTTTCATGTGAAGCCGTTGTGCCAATACAAACTGAACTTCATATTTCAGGATTGAATGTAAGATAAATACCTCCAGAGCAATCTGGAGACAAGACACTAACTTAAACTTTGAAGGGCGAAGGAATAACTGCAGTGAAGATGTACAGAGAATTCTTAGAATACAAAAGTAGACGATAAAAATGTATGAGATGGCAGTGTGATATTGCTTTCATTATTCTGGGATTTTTTATTTCATAATATGATGAGTGTCTTCTGAGTATCACACACTTTAAGTGATTAGGATAGTGGCCATATAAGGTATGCAGCCTCTAAGGGAGAAGCTGGGAAAAACACAGCCTTAGACCTCTTGCTTTTTACTGATTTTTCTAGGGCGTCACCACTAAATTGGTAGTTGCAAAAACTCACTCCTTTAGAAACATCAATGGAACTTCATATATTCACTGTTTTTCTGGCAGAATATTGATACTAATTTTAGTTTTAGAATCTTTGCTGGTTTTAGCACATACATAACTGTTTCTAAATCTACCTGTTTATTTAGCTGTCGCTAAATAAATATTTATTAGTATAATAATCTGTAATAGAATTTATATTCAGTGCTGTATAATACTGGAGGCGCTGAGCGCCTCTCATCTTTGTGGTGTCCGTAAAGCAACTCCAACCCAGCATCAGTGTCCTCAGATACATGGCTCTTACTCAGGTTGTATTGACTTTTTGAGTAAGGTGATGAAAGAAGTGAGAGATGACATCAAGCACAGATAAAGAGGAATACCAATTAAAGTAAAAAGTATGTCATTCTGGCTTCCTTCAGCCTGTAAGCTGTGTGAATCTCTGACAATCAGCTAGTTGTCTTACCAGGCATGAGAGCTACAAGGTGTTAAAGCTTTCTGGACAGAGCACTTGTGTTATCTGTAACCCGATTATAAAGAAAAGAAAGAGAGCTATTTTTTGCTAGAGGAACATGGAGACTATTGTTTTCAGCTCCATGATAAGATGTTTTTCACTGTTGAAGCTGAAATCACCATTTGAAGTGTTCAAGGCCAGGTTGGATGGGGCTTTGAGCAGCCTGGTTTAGTGAAAAGTGTCCCTGCCCATGGCAGGGGTGTTTGGAACTAATTGATCTTCAAAGACCCTTCCAATCCGAGCCATTCTGTGAATCTACATGAGAGAAGCTAGTGTGGAGGTAAATTGCAGATGCCAAGTCATGCCATTCTGTGTCTGTCACCAAGCTGTCATTGCTGAGTGTGAGGTTTGAGCCAGTGGCAGATGGCTTCCTCTGAGAAGAGGAAAGGACAAGGAAGAGAAGTTATGGTAGAATTGGCAAAGCCCAAAGAGTAATTCTCACTAACTGAAAGGAACTAATTATTTTGGACTTGTGTTTCTGGGCTCAGATCTGTATGACTTGAAAATACATTCACCAAACAACAACATACTGGACTGGGCATAAGTAAATAGTAAAGTTACTGGGAGAATAAAAATTACTAGGTTTAAGAGAGAATGATTCAATTGTCAAATGGTAAGTTAAAGCAGCCTTGTTTTAATGTACTCTTAAAAAAAACAACCCCAAATCTGAGATACTGCCAGACACCCTCTTTAGTTAGCAAACTGCAGAAGCATGTCTGTGCAAAATGGGAAATGTGTTTACTTGGCTAGCATTTTTGAATTGAAACATTGTAGATGTTGTGAAATACTGTAGAATGTACAAATGAGCATATTGTCCAGAAAATCACATTGCAACACATACACTGTTCATACACTGTGAACGTAGTCATCTCACTTAGTCATGGTGGTGGTCCCAAACTAATGAATGTTGAGATTTTGTGGACAAGACTTAAGAATCTACTCTTAATTGGAGAATTATCAGTATTTTCTGTGTGGTGGGGTGAGGTAGAGGTGGGAATGGAGAGGAGGGAGGAAGAGAATCTGCTTCTTACTGAGTTAAAGGTGTTTGGTTTTTCTGAAATTAATCAGTAATTGAATTAAAGCAGGGAAGAGTTGGGGATCAAGGTGAGCAATTGAGAGGGGAGCTGCTGGAGGACCAAAGCGCTTTTGGTGAGGGAGCAGTGGGAGGTAGAGTGGACCCCACAGCATCTCATATCTTCCTAGTGAATCTGAGAACTGGTTGGATTCCCACTTGCCAATAGTCTGTTTGGGAGAATAACAGAGCAGGGGCAGCAAGACACAGATTGACTCACCAAAGAGCACGGAATGAAGGAATAAAGTTGTGCTGCTCAGAAGTGTTAAACTACTGGAAGTGCTGTGCTGAACGTGCTAGGGTGCCACCTGCATTGGTGAACAGGGAATATTGAAAATATGCATTGGTGGGCTTTGTAATTCCCAGCTGAAGAGCTGGTGCCTCTGCAGGGGTATATCCAGGTTGTTTGGTTTGAAGAGCAGCTCTTTGCCCAGAGTTGTGCACCTGCACAGTATGTCCCTCTGACTCTGTCTCACTTTCCACTCATTAGCAGAAGCTGCATCCTTTCTGGGGACTGGAGAGCACACCTCTCTGAACCACAGGTTCATCTCAGCTGGAGCTGAGATGCTCTACAAATATACAAAGACTGTGGCATAGGGGTAAAAAAGTGTGTTAACCTTGGATTTACTGAAAGTTTAAAGAGTGAAGTTTTCACTGTTTACACAGTAGATAGAAGAGTATCTATTCAGGGAAATAAACCACTTCATGTCAAAATCTAAAATGGCTACTGACGGATTTTTTTGAAACAACTGTGCTTTTGAAAAGTCAAGTTTTTTTAATGTGCAAGCAGCAGGCACATTGCACAGTGGAGTTTCACTTTCAGTTCTATCACCAGCAGCTTTTTGCTTGGGGTGTTTCTTTGCTGTGTCCTGAATGTCACTACAGCTAGATTGAGGTATTCCTTCATAGTTTCATTGTAGTGTTTGGATATCCAATAGTGAAAAATCATCTAGTTTGTAGATACTCTGGGGCCTTCTTTGCTAACTTTTCATAGGTACTTAAGCTAACTTTCCTTCATGCAGATTTTCATATTTTATCATTTTATTTGAGCTTCAAGTTTAAAAAAAAAAAAAAAGGTTAATTTTTTTTTCTTTTTAATATTTGACAATTTGGGCTGCTGTTTGCTTCCTTTTCGTAATAAAAGCACAGCAGATAAATAGAGGCCTCCATTCACATGCAGGTGATACCAAAGGAATTAAATACTGTCTGCTGCATTGTCTACTTTCATTTCCCTGTCTAAGAAAATAGCTAAATTCATTGGGAAAATACAGGAACTCAGCATTGTTCATCTTGTCCAAGCATAATACATAGAAGAAACTATTAATTCAAGCTTGCATTTATATTCTTCATAGCACTTAAAAATTCCTCCAGTCTAGTTGCCAGCTGTTCCCTCTTAATTAATCTCCGTGTGTATAATTTCCTTTCCCCCTTTTTTTTGTGGTGTTGTTGTGCTATCCTTAATTGTTTGGGCTTTGAAATCTAACCAGGTAATTGGGCAACAGCCTTCCCCACATTCACTTCCCAGTGGCTAACTTCTCTAGCAGTTGGGTACAGAGGAAGATAAAGACTGGGGAATGTGAGAGTGTAGGCAAGGGCTTTCCTGTTCAATCCCTGGTACAGGTTGTCTGTGTGAATCTGGAAATGGTATCAGTCTACATTTTTCTCTTACTTAAATATTTATGATAATACTTGAGGGAGGTGAGTGTTGTTGTAAAGCTACTAAAACTGGTGGTTGTTAAACTGGATTGAGACAGTCTGGGTGCAGACTACAAGTGCAAAGTTTCGGCGCATTTACTGATGTAGTAAAATTAGCCTGAAAATTTACCCATAGGTTTCTGTAGTTGGGTACTGAAAAAGTGCATCTGCTTTTGAAACAGAACAGAATCACGTATTAGTCTTCATATTGAGACTTTGAAAAAAGGGGGGGTATGTATTTATAAATAAGCATAGGATGTTAATGAGAAGTATTCTTTATAGATGGCTCTCCTTAAAAGTTCTTGCATGAGTAATTAACTGGAGACAGTTATTACCCTTCCTCATTTGGGAGGTACTGAGAGGCAACTAAAGAAGTTACTGCCTTTGCATCATTTGCCTTTGTGTTACAGGCATAAAATTTGTTTTAGCATCAACACAAAGGAGATAGTGACTACCCTTTTCTCAAGAAGTGTTGCTGTCATTTTCACCAGTACAAATTGTGAATGGAATGAGATGGTCGTCACGTTGTGTCACTTGAAAAGTTTACAGATTTTACCAAGATAATGGTTTCAGACAGATGAACACATTATTCAGGTTTTAGCTCTTACGAATTGTTGCATAGCAGTGACAAGGAGCTGAAATCTTGGAGAGCCTGGCTTTGGATAGTATGGGATTTCTGTCAGTGTTTCTACTAGAATGAAGGGAGGAAGAACAATTTTGATCTTTCTCTTTAGATGGCAACTATATGAACACACAACCCTATTTGTGCTTAGTGCATCAGAACTCAAACTGAAATCAGAAAAGTAACATTTTAAAACTATTTTTTCTGTCTTCATACTGAGTTATATTAGAGTTACATCCAAATGGATTATTCGTCTTCAGGAAGTCGTTGAGAAGGTGTATGAATACTATAATCAACCTGTTTGCCAAGATCTTTAGTACTGGATTTTTTGTAATTAAATCAGTACTCAAAGCACACTTCAATTTTGCTAACAGTAGTGCCTGATGAGAAGGCCATGACGAATAACATAGAGTAAATGGTTGGTCCCTTTGAAGAGAAGCAGATCTCCTCATTTGGGTCTATCCAAAGACTCAGTGACTGTAAATTGTCATTTGCTTTGAGAGCACAAAAGCTATTCAGTTATGTTAATCAGCAGTTCTGCATCATCACAGAGTTGAGCTGTGCTTTTCTTGTTCTGTCAGAGAATTTTTCCTATAAATGTGTAATAAATGTTCCATTTTCAAATAATTTATTTATTTGTACAAGACAGGTCATAGATCAGGATCCACTTATGATAAGCATTTCGCAAAGGAATTTTTATGAGTCTTTGGGGTAAGACACCAAGGAATAGATGGACACAAGCAGATACACAGGAGAGCAATGAGGTAATACTTAACACCAAAAAAAAGCCACAAATAAGTGGAAAAACACCCCAGGTCTTTGCACATCCAAATCATGCTGAAAGTTTGAATGTGGACAAATCCTTCTTGTGGCTACAAAATGCACTATGTAGTGTTTGTGTATATATATAAAAATGTGTTCTGTAGATATTACACTTGGTATGTAAAGATGGTCTTTTCTGTGTGTTTCAACTTTCTTTATTTGATTGTTGCTGTGTTGTATATGAACGGCCTTGCCCTTTTTTCTGAGTGTGTCGTCTCAGTACAACTTGTGCTTGTGCAGCAAAGGAGCTTGTTCATAGCAGTGTTGGTTCACTGCTCTCACTGGCTCTTTGCCCTTCTTGACCTCCTCTTGTTTTTCCTCTCTACTTAGCAAACAGTTCCCTGCATCAAATCTCAACCCAAGATACATCAAAATTACTTTTCCCTTAGCTTTCAAAACCATTTGCAACCCTTTATGTTTGGGGATGATCGGTTGGTTTGGTTACTCCCATCCCTGCAATCCTGCCATGTCTTGTCCTTGTTGCCATTCATTTTCCTCCAGTTTTACCTAACTGGTTGACATTCAGGCCAGTTCAGACCAAAGGATACATGCATTCTCATCAATCATATTTGCTCAAATATTTTTTTTGTGAAGAAGACAACTTTGTCCCTTACTGTGTATTGAGTATCTTCTGGTCTGTGTCTTTACTGTGCCTCCTTTTGGAGACTTTGAGTCCTCCTGGATACAGACTTAATCTGAAATTGGGCTTCATGATGAGTGCTCAAAACCACTCCCTTCTCCAGCAACCTGTTAACCCACGCCCATCAGTAGAGGTTGAAAGAAAGACTTAAGACTGCCAGAGTCTGGTTAGAGGAGACAGTAGGCACAGAGTTAAGGGCTTTGCTGCCACTGGAAGTGGAGTGCACCTCTGCCTAGGCCTGCTGTGTTCTTGGCACACCTTTCATTTTGGTGCTCTAACCTGCTCTGTGCATGGGGAGAGTGGTTGCAGGCAGGATTGTGGGTTTGTAGCCCTGTGCACAGGAAAAGAGGGTTTGGGGTGGAAAAGAGGGTTACCAGCACAGCACTGCTGTGTGAGCTGTGAGAGTAAGAAAGGTGAAACGTGATGCTGTGTGGTCAGGCAACTTCAATGAAAAAAACAAAGGGGAGGCAAAGATGGTGCTAACAGTTTAATGGCAGCTGGGAGGTTTTTGCAGAAGTCTGGGAAGTTTATGACAGTTGTTGATAATAGCATGCAAATCCTTATGCTTAACAAAGCTTTAGCCAGCTATCAAGTGACGCTTGCTACTGACATGGTGCTTAACTCTTATGCCTTAACATGTATAGCTGAACAAGAAATGTAAAAATGAGGTTACTTCATGTCATTTCTGGCTGAAAATGCCATCACAGGTTGAGTGTTTGTCTTTTTTTTCTTTTTTTTGTGCATTACTACATGTATAGAAAGATCTTCAGGCAAGAGTGACTTGCCCAGGACTGGGTCCTCAGACGGGACATTTTCTGTGATGTGCTCTAATGGTTTGGTCCCTGTGGTTCTGTGGTGTTGGTGCTTTGTGTACCGGAGCTTCTGGCATCCTGTGGGACGTCCTTTGCACAGCCAGGCTTCAAAGCTTGCTCCTTCACCTCTGATTCATGCAGCAGCTGGGGCACTACATTGAATCCTGGTATGTTGGAAGTGAAAAAGAAAGTCGGTCGTGGAATGTTTTTAGAGAAAACTTTACAAAGAATTTCCTCAAGGAGCCCAGAACAGGATTTGGTACTTCCATGCATCTTTGTGGGAAGGAATGGTTAGAGAGAGGAGGCAGCATTGGCCATACTAGGGCCAGCATGTATTTCAGGGATCACTTATATTTTCACTAATGGTAACTTTGTTTTTCGAATACATTATTTAAAAATAGGGCAAATAAATTCCTAATATTTCTTGTATAGTTTCAGAAGTAAAAGTGATTCTGGACTAGGTGGGGCTCTTCTACATCTCTGATTTTCACCTCAATTTTTCTTTGCCATTGAGTTGTCTTACACACGTGTGTAACTTCAGTTAGAAGTTAGAAACTCAGATAAGTTCAAGGTCAAACCTTTCCAGATCATGACCTCTACTGTTAGGGGCATGAGCAGGCTGTGCCAGATAGATTCTTACTTGGCAATTGTCTGTACAGCAGTAACAAATGTAGCAAGGTACTAAAGAGTTTTTAATGCTCACTTTGAACAAGTTGATAAAACATGATGGAAATAAGCCAGAGATGAATTGAGTGCAGTTTGTTAATAGTACTGCAGTAGTTCACAGTACTTTGAGTGTTGCTCATCAGCCTGGTTCCTCCTTCTTCTACTCAAAAGTACCTCTGCTGTAGAGAAGTGGAAATACTGAAGTCCAGTGGTACATATTTCTCCTTTACCTTCCTCTTTATAGTTTCCACCGTCATCAGCCTTCATCGTCCTTGAGTTTTTGGCAGCCTTCTGCTTTGATCAGTCAGAGCCAAATCCCACAGTTTTTCCTCTGCAGACTGCAAGGTGTGCTCGTGGTGGCTGGTGTCCCTCACCATGCTCTGTGGTAGTAAACATTGGAAGAGATGTTAAGTGGCATGCGGCAGGGAAATATCTAACCTCTTAGGTGTTTACTTAATTTTGACTTGAAGAATGAGCCTTAGATGTAAGTACGAAAGATCCTTCCACTAGTGGTTCTTGACCTGTGTCTTCACCCCTCTCTTTGACCCCTAAGAAATTAAAATTCTACGTATTTTGTATGTTTTCTCTAGGTTGTTTTCTTCCAAGTACCCAGTAGTTCTGTCACCTTGCAGGCTGTGAGGGTGAAAGCTGAGGAGGCTGATACAGAAAATATTGAGTAACAAAACCCGAAGAGGGTGCAATAGTTTTGGTGTTTGATGTATCCACACAACAAGGCCTGAGTAAAAGGTAAAGTTTCTTGGAAACTTGATTTACATAAGGGGTGTAAGGGATGGTTATCAGATCAGTCAGGCACTGAGGTGAACATGCATGTGTGAATTTTCTCATTAGTCACTCTTTCCTTTAACTCTGAATTCTTTCCTTCTGTACCATGATTTAGTGGAGCTATTAAAAAATCAAAACAAAATACTTGCTTTTTTTCTTCTTTTTTTCCCTCGGAATTTCCTCCCCGCTTCTGATCTATCTCTTAGCAGATCGAGTTTATTCTCTCACTGCCCTCACTCACCGGTAAGTATTCAGTCTTGGCTGGGGAAGAAGCATGAAATTGTCATCTTCCTCTCTTCCCTCCGAAAAGTTTATTTGGCAAGTTAATGAATTTCCTTTATTCCCAAGAGCAGCTCATAAAGGGGAGATTTCTTCTCCCTAGGGCAGTGAATGTGAGGTGATTGCCAGAGCATTGTTCTTCTAAATAGTTTATTTTTCTCCGTGGCTGGACCCTCCCCCCAACTATTTTTAGAGTACTGATCAAGTGATAATTTGTGTTTAGGCTTCCTTGAAGTACCTAGTAAGCTAATGCTGATTCGCCTGTGGGTTTGGTATTCTAGGTGGAACTTGAGCAAATTCATTCAGTGAAGATCAGACGGAAAATGTAACCCAAGTTTTCCCGGGAGGGTTCAGGGATCCCTTAGCCCATCCATTCCGCTGTGCAATGTCGCCAGTATTCAGCTGGGCTATTTGAGGTGGCAAGGAGAAGATAGATTACCATGGTAAAGTGGCTGGATCAGTACTCACAGTTCACATGTAAGCAGAAGTGTCCAGCAGCAGGGCTGCTCTGGCACAGAGCTTTTGGATGACTGGAGTGCACAGCTGTAGGAGGAGGTGAGCCAACAGCCTCTCCCGAGCCTGATGTTTCTGGACTTTCTCACACAGAGCAGTGTGTCCTGCTCTTGAGAATAACACCCCTTGAGATCTACTGTCACCTCCCCCCAGCTCCTTCAAGGCTGATGTGCATGTTTTGTGTTCCTCAGAGCACAGGGCAGTTTGGTATGTGGGCTTGGCCATTCTGGCCTTGCTGCCTCTCTGGGGAACTTCTTCCCGTCTCCTGCGCTCTCACTCAGTGCAGCTGGGCTGCGCCCTGGCTGCTGCTTCTGCCTCTCTTCCCTGCTGCGAGAGGCTTGTGAACCTTGCTGTTGACCCCTCTCCTTTGCTAGAAGGTTGGTGCATCTCCAGCACAGTCTCTCTCTGTCCTGGGAAGAAGTGTTGCTTGCTTTCCCTGGCCAGCAGCTCGAGTAGTCACTGGACCAGTTGCAGTGTCATGCTGGGGTTGAATTTGTGCCAATGACCCCTTTCAGAGGCTTATGGGGCTGACAGGAGTGAAACTACTCCTTAGTGGGCAGTTCCCAGCCACTTTCCAGTGTCTTTTTAGTAGTATTTTCTAGGTGTTGTAAAAAGTTTGCTTCACCTTGGGCTTGCAAGTGATCCTGCTGCGTGGCTGGAGACAACTGAGCAGTTCTGTTGTGTTCTGGGCTCTGGTCATCCTGACTCTGAGGAGCTCTCACCTGCAATAACCTGCCAAGTAATTGCTGTTGAAAACTCTACCAATGCTGTTGGGCTGTCACCTGGGATTAGTTTCTTTTGAAGTACAAAACACTCAGAAGTATTTACAGCAGAGGTACAATCTGTGAGAGTGTTCACAGAAGTCAGCTAGCAGTTGTACAGAAGACTGCTCTCACAAGCTAGCCCTAAAGCATTAGGGTAAACAGTGGTTGTTTTGTTAACAGAGAAATGTCTCCTTAGGAGCACCTTCTTGCAAAGGGTCCTTTTTAGTAGGGAGGAGGTGAAGGCCTGTGCAGCCATGAGGCAGGTGACCAGGACACCCTGCCTTGCTGCCATCATGATGACTTTCTGGCTTGAATGTCACAGCTGCTCTTAAAAACAGTTCCATGTCCAGTTCTTTCCCATTTCATGGTTTCTCATAGCAAATTTTTCTATTGAAACCATTCATATTTTAGTTTATTTCTGGATATAAATGGTGAGTTAAAGTCTCAAAAAGCTTCTTGGTAATTTTGACTTTGAATGAGAATAGGCTCCAAGACCTTGTAGCTTTAACAATGTTTCTGAAGCATCTGAAGTGGAGAGATGATTGGGAAAATGACCTGGGTGGTAGTGAAACAGTTAGCACAGATTTCTCACATATACTCACTTCAAATGGTTTTACAAAACCTCCTGTAATATTGACACCTATGACAACTGCCAGAGCATCAGGACCATACCTGGGTTCGGGTTAATATCTTACATGGGCAATTCACATCTTTGGTAATCTGATCCTGAAAAGATGTGGAGTGGTCGTGGGCCAAAAAACACGTGTTGACCATGCCACCTCACCTGTAAACGCAATTTGAGGTTGCTCCTCTGCATCTTGAGGTGCACAAGGGAGATGCTGAAGTCTCCCGAAACACAGCTCTGCAAGCTTGGTGGTTGAGGTAGAGGCAGCTGTGGCAGCATTGTTCTTCAGGCTCTGTCTGGAGGCAGGGCCGTGAAGTTGTGATGCATCACAGGCACTTGCACTCTGCATCAATTTGTGCATTGAAATGTACAGCATTGATTGTAAAATATTGCCCACTCATTTACGATCTTGTTGGAGCAAAGCTTACAAATGTCCTTGTGGTGAACTTGCTGACACGCATTTAAGTTTAAGAAAGTGTACTGAACTTAGATCATCTTCTGGATTATCTTGTACTGTTTAGCAGGCTGAACATCATTTCCTCCCGCTCCTGATTGCACTGGAGGTGTTTTGAATGCTTTCGTTCTTGCATGCTTTTCTTAACTGTCCTGTTTGGTGTGACCTGTAGCTCTTCCCATCTCTTTCTAGTCGGCCTCTCCAGAGTGCCCTGAAGTTACAGCAGAACTTGAAGCAGAACTGTGAAATTTGGGCTTTCTTGTCAGTTTTGGGGTTGTCCCCAGGCTTTCTGGACAGGAATGGTTTTGCTCTGAAGTGGTGCAAAGAATTAGATCAGCAAAACTAGGAGCATTTCTGTAGCTCGTTGCTTTGCTATAAACTTGCTCATGTTTGACAGGTTACCAGTGCAGTCATAATTTTTAGGTTGTCTTAATTTTTGAATTGAAGATTAATTTTTGCAGAACCGGATTACACTGGTGAAGTTTTCCTACTCACTAGGAGTAGGTAGATGTGTGAATTTTTCAGATTATGTGTTCAAAAGAGAAATATTTTCTTTTTTTTCCCATGTAGTCAAAATGAAAGTGAACATTCAGACTTGGGGAGCAGGAAATAATAAACTATCCTTTTCTACCCGGAACGGGGCTGCTGTTTCTGCCAACTGGCCTCTCTGAGAGAGCCTGTGAAGTTGTCAAGCCCATCTGTTTTCATCCACTGACACGGTGCACCAAGGCAGCAGACACACAACAAGCTAGGGAGAGAGGGTGGGGTTTATTTTTCCTTCCTTTGCTCCCTGAGCAGCAGAAATCTTTTCTTGCTTGCTGACAGCATCACTGTTTCAACCCTGTCAAGACTTTGGTAGATGAAGTGATCTGAAGGGGATGGAATCTTCTCAGCTACAAGTGTTGAAGGGGTGCCTCAACATTTGTCATCTAAAGAAGCTGGTCTCAGCCTCACATGCATTTGTTTTAGTGCCAAGCTGCTGTTACTGACAGGGTTGCTGAGGATAGGTGAAACAGTGACCATTAAGGGCTGTAGGTAGAATCCTTAATTTAAACAGCAGAATGGTAATTTTTTTTTTATTAAGTAAAGGTCAAAAATGCTAAGACTGCTATTAGCTGGCTTAATCCTGGAAGAGATAAGAAAAGTGGTACTATGAGAAGTAGGACACACATAATTTATAATTTATCAGTATAGGAAAACACATTTAATGTCCTGCTGTGCAATAAATGTATCTGCTACAGGATCACCAAAGAGCGATAAGATGCTCTGGTTGTTCTTTTAATTCACCTTTTTTTTCACCTAGTTAAAAAGAAGTTGCTTTTGTCCTTTATTGTCCACTTAATCTAAGAGCTTTATTTCCTGTGCTTGTATCTGTGGGGTTAGAGGAGTGAATTATGAATAGGAGCCTGCCTTGAGGATTACATATTTGCCACCACAGCATATTTAAAGGTGTACCATGAAGTTCATATTGCGGGCAATTAATGAAAACTGTTAATTCTGAAACATGAAAATGCGATGAACTGAAGGCAGGCTGAAGGAGTGTGCTGGCAGCCTCTCGGCTGGCTTAGAGGAGAGGCAGGATGTTTTGGAGGTAGGCACAGAAGTGCTATCTCACTGCAGTGTAGCTAATGGAACTAGACAGAGTTGTGGCATGACTGCGTTCAGGGGTCACGGCGGTGAGGGATGCCATGATTCAACCTGATGTAGCAAGGGAGCCTTGGCAGGAAGCCGCTGTGTTTATAAGAAGCGGAGTAACCACAACTGCCAGCGGCCTTGAAAGATTCCGCTGTGGCTTTCGCTATGAATAGCAGGCTCGGCTGCTGAAAGCTCAGGTTAAAAAAAAAAAAAAAGTAGATACCAGCAGGAGACACCGTGTGAAGAAGACATGGGTTCTGTCTCCCAATAACAATAAAAATTTGTGGTTCCGCACCTGTCATGGTTGTTGTAAGACAGAAAAGGATTGAAGATCAAATAATTCCAAAACGCCGATTATGCTGATGTGTGGGAGGAGTGGGGAAAGAGGAGAGGCACCATAGTTCTGGTTTGTTTCAGTAGACTTGGGCAAGATGAACTCCTTACAGTCTTCAGCTCACTTTATTGCATTAAAAGACATCTCGTATCAGTGGTTTTGCTTTGTTGCAGAAATCAGATGGGTTTGTTTTTATTTTAAAGTGCTGTCTGAAAATGATAGGCTGCATTAGCCCAGCTGTAGAAATAATGTCTTAATCATTTGACTGCCACAGAAATACATCTCACTTGCAGCCTGACTTGAAATTTAGATCAAAACTGTTAAACGAACTCCAAGTTCTGCAGGAGTTTTTATTTTATA